GTCTTCACCCGCTCCTTTGCTATCCTGCCCACCGTCTTCGTGGCCGCTTTCAAGGATGTCACCCACCTCACGGGCATGAATGACCTGCTCAACGTCCTGCAGAGCATCCTGGTAAGAGGGTGGGAGGGCAGCACCTGCCCCCAAACACCCCAGCCTGGCAGCCATGCCCTCCTCATCCCCCTCTCCTTTCAGCTGCCTTTCGCTGTCCTGCCTGTCCTCACATTCACCAGCCTGCACCCGCTCATGCAGGACTTCACCAACAGCCTGTGAGTGCCAGGGMAGGGGGAGGCGCAGAGGGGGCAGAGTGGGGAGCTCTAGCTGCTGGGACCCTCGCTCTGGCCCATCCTGCCCCCCAAACATGCTATGGGACAATTAGTGAACAGACATTGGAGGGCTATGCTCATTCCCACGTGCCCAGGGCAGCCAGAGCAGGACAGACCCCATCATCACCCTTGTTATCCTCCTCCCAATGAAACAGCTGATTCTTTGGGCAACCCTGGATCCCCAGAATCCTCCTGGCACTGCCAGCCCTGGATTTGGAGGGTGGCCACAGTCCACACCAAGAGCCCCACCACGGGGTGAAATACAGCTGTGGGGTGCAGAGGTGTCCCAGCTGGGGTTTTGTTCACTACAAACTCAGTTCCCCCAGCCCTCTGTGCCCAGTGTCACAGGGGGTGGGGGCCCTGCCCTGGCACTGATGCCCACTGCCCTGCCTGCAGCCCAGGGAAGGTGCTGATGACCCTCACCACGGGGCTGATCTGCGCAATCAACATTTACTTTGTGGTGGACTTTTTGCCAACACTGCGTGGCCTGGAGTACTACATCCCCCTGAGCYTGCTGCTGGCTGCCTACGTGGCTTTCGTCGCCTACCTGGTAGGGCTGGCACCGCGGGATGGGGGCGGGACAATGTCCCTGGTGGGTGCCCATCGACCTGCCCTCTTTGCCCCTGCAGATCTGGACATGCAGCATCGCGCATGGAGCCCGGTTCCTGGCCCGGGGCCACCACAGCCGGTTCAACTTTGGTCTCGCCCTCGGTGACAGGGATGGGTGACAGATCCCATCCCTGCTTATTATCCCCCCGTCCCTGACCAGCACGGCCTCCTCACACCGGACACGATTTGCTGTCACTCCGAGCCTGGGCATGTTCTGGCCAGAGATGCACCCAGCAAGGAAGRGGTTAACACACGGGCAGACCTCCCCCCAAGATTTTAGAGCCCAGMGCTTCTTTCCATCCCCAGCCTTCGCCCATTCAGCGGTGCCGGTCCAGGCTTGATGCGAGGGGACTGGGATAGCGACGGAGGTGCTCCCATCCCTTGGCACAGACGCTTCAGTGAATGAGCCGCGTCGGAGACTTCCCCTGCTCATTACTGCCAGGAACCGCCGGCCCCCGGGACCGCTAATCACCGCTGGGGACCGCTAATTACCGCCGGGGACCGCTAACCACCCCCCACCGCCGGCGGGGCCAGCCCCGGGACCGGCCCCATCCCCACGGGGGGCTCCGCAACTGGGGGGGAGGGGGCGGCTGATAAACGGCGTGTTTGTGACCGGGCCTCGGCCTCGCTGCTGCTGCGTGGCCCCGGTGCGGGGCGGGGACCCCGTGGGCTCACCCGTACCCTGGGGACGGCCCCTGTGCCCCGGCCGGGGGAGGGGGCGGGGTTGCCAACGCGTGGCCGTGGGGGTGCGGGAGGCTCAGCGCCAGTTTTCTGCATTCCCTCGGGGGGAGCGAGGCGGTGGGGGGGCCCACCGTGCCCTCCCCGCCCCCGATGCCCCCTTTCCCGCCCGCCGGAACCGCCTCATGAGGATGCGGGGCCGCTCGGGCCCTCCCCGGGCGCGGCCGGCGCCCCCCAGGCCGGTCCCGCTCCGCGGGTTGAGGGGGTCCCACCGCGCTTCGCCCCCCGCCGCGSTCCGCACTTGCGAGACGCTCCCTGGCTGTTTCAAGGCTCCCCCCTCTCCCCGGGACCCCCCGCCCCAAAATCCCACTTCCCGACCCACGCCGGCCGGGCGGTGGAAGGGCAGTTTGGGGGACCGGACACCCCCCCAGCCCGTGCCCCCCACTCCGGGAAGGGTCCCCCCCCGCTCCCGGGGGCCGCSCTTGTTTATGTGAAGAATGTCCCCTTCCTTAAAAGGGCGATGGCGGACGGGGTGGGGCGGTGCCTCCCCCCCGCCTCCGCGTTGGTCCGGCCTCTGGCTGCTTGAAGGAGGAGCCAGSGCTGTGGGGCCCACTAAAAGGCGGGGGCTCCCCCGCTCCTCGCGGGGTGCAGCCGACTAGAGCCATCGGAGCAGGAGACCCCCCCCATCTCGGGGTGCACCTGCCCGTGGTGGGAGGCTCCAAGGGGCACAGGTCATCGGGGTGGTCCTCAGCAGCGAAAGGCTGGGGGGCTGCGGGGTACAGGCATGGYTCGTCTGGGGAGCAGGGGGTCCACAGGGCTGTGGTTGTGGGATTTGTTCTCCAGGTGGGACCGCAACCCAGCGCACTCCCAGCCCAGAGATACCTGCCTCCACCCAACTCTCAACAGAAGTGCCCCGCCGCAGGCCCCTTCTGTGCCCACTTGGCCGTGGGGCAGCTCTTACTACGGCAAAGCTCCCAGGGCCAGGGTTAGGTTGGGGAACAGGGGAAAGCATCCGGGACTCCAGCCGAGGAGCTGTGGGTGCCACAGAGGGGCTCCTGAGTGCCTGATTGATGGGAGCCTGATGCTCTTCTGTCTTGTGCCTGCACCCCATAGCCCAAACAGTCCAGCTGGGCTCTGCCTGTCCAGTCCTGGGCTTGTCCCACAGCCCCGGGATGGGAGACAGCATCTCCCTGAGCTCCCCAACTGCTTAATCTGCCCCCAGGCAGGCAGTGGAGCTGGAAGCGGTCCTCCAGTTGCCGCTGCAGGCATTGGCCAGGACACTTTTCTAATTGCATTAATTAGAGGGCTGGCAGGGCCTGGCTGGGCTCATCAGGGTTTATCAGGGAGGGAGGAGGACATGGCCAAAGGGACACTGGGTGGCCTCTGCAACTGTCCCCACAATGAGCAGCATCCCCCAGCAGCATGGCCAGATGTGGGGATGAGGCAGACATCCTGTCCAGTTCCACCTGGGCTAAAGGAGCACACAGGTCAGCCCAAAATAACGGAGGAAGCACAGCCTCCTTCTTCCTTTTCCTCCCGCCGGGCCAGGAGACAGTGCCGGCTGCCTGATGTGGGAGCCGACTGCCGTGCTGCGGAGGTGCGATGAAACTGAGGCAGGAGCGCTGCCCGCCATCAGAACCCGCGGAGGAGGTGGCAGGATGCAGTGTCCCGGTTCCCAACAGCAGCTGGTCCCTGCCAGAGCCCTCCGGGGTTAGGTGGTGTCGGGATGTCCACACGGAGCCGGGAGTGTGGGAACCGCAGGTGTAAATCGCACTGCCAGAGTCCCGCCGGCCCCGCAGCATCCCAGTTCCCTGTGGGGGCACCTCCCAATCCCAGACCCCGTTTGCCAGCTCGGTCACCTCTGGGCATGTGTCATGTCCCTTTGTGCCCCACGCTGGGAGCTGGGACGCGTTCCGGGTCCCCTCCTAGCCTCCTAGCCCTGTTTCCCAGGGGCTGCTCCCACTGTACCATGTCGGCTCAGCCCCGGGGCACAGAGCGGTAACCGAGCGTGCCACCGCCCGCATCSCTGCCTCGCCGGTGCCCCTGGCTCCTACCTGGTCAGAAAGGGCGATCTCAGCCCCTCAAGTTCCCAAACTTCAGGTGGGAGAGGTGGAAAGATTTTGAATGAGYTCACACGAGAAATTTCCAACCTGCTGCAGCCTCGCGGCAGCGCTGACAGAGGGCACAGCATCTCCTGCCACCGAGACGGCGAGGAAGGTGACCGGGACAGGCTGGGACCCCTCCAGGGCCGGACGCTGCCTGGGCGGTGTTGGGGGGCACGGCGGTGCGAGGCTGCCCCGGCAGAGCCCCGCAGGGATTGCGGGGGGAAGGAACCGGGGCTGGAGGATGCTGCACTTGCGGGGATAAGGGGGCGGGTTTTCTATGAGGGAGTTGTGCCAYACACCCGGCAAAAATCGCTTTTCAGAAAGCGCCTGGAAACAGCCCCTCTTCCTCCYAAAGGCAGGAGGGAAGTAATTGCAAGGGAAAGTATATCTATATTGATAATATAAAATTATTAATTGCCCAAATAATTGGGGGTTTGCAGGAGAAAGACRGAACGATAGAAAAAAGCGGCAATTATTGGTGCATCCCCCCAGCACCTGCTGTCCCGCCCCCCTGGCTCGTACACGCAATGCAGGATGTGCCCTCGGGGGGCAATGGGGACCCCCCAGGCTCGAGTCTCTGCTCCGAGGGACGTCTAGCATGGGGGGCGTGTTCAGATGCCRGGGGTAGCTGCAGAGGGATCCCGGGCTGCCAGCTGGATGGGGGGGGGGGACAGTAGGACCGATCCCCTTCTCCATTCCCTCTGAGTCGGGCGGAGGAGTGTGGGACAGCCCGGCGGGGGGTCGGGGACCTGCGTACGATCACCATGGAGCAAGAAGGGGTGTCCTGCCCGGCCAAGCCACAGACCACTCCCCGTCTCGGTCCCGGCCGCGGCTCGGCGGGRACCCCCACTCCTCCCTGGCGGCGCGGGTGCCGGGAGGAGGGAGGAGGAGGGAGAAGGGAGAAGGAGGAGGGGCCCCCCCGCCGTCGTTGCCCTTTTAAGGGGTTCCTTGAAACCGCGCCCGGGATCCATGTTTGCAGCCCCAGCCCGGGCGGAGGAAACTCCATGTTGTAACAAAGTTTCCTCCGCGGCGCCGCTCCCGCGCCCGCCGCCCC